CCCCACAGGCGGATAGGCAGGAACAGCAGAGGAGGACTCCGGACCCGGGGTCTTCCGCTCTGAACGCTGCGTCCTTTCTGATGTGTGTAGGTGGTGCTGAGAACAGTCATGACCCAGCTCAGGAAGGCCAAGCCCTCCTGGCGGCCACTGGAAGCCGCAGGGGCCAGGACCCTGGCATCAATCCCGGGTTGGGCTCCTGACAACCTCTGCTACTCCAGACTGGTGGCTGCTGGGAGCTGAACGCGCAGCAGACCCGAGATGTCCACAGGGCAGGGACTCTCTGCAAGTCCATTTCACTTTCCAATCCTGGCAAACTTACCCAGAGCAGCATCGAAGCCTGGCTCCACCGTGAGAACATCACGTGCTGGGAATTCGGAGACGGCCAGCTGGAACTGCTCCTGGCAGCTCAGGAGAGACTCTGGGTGCAAGTGATGACTTCTCTCTGGGCCTGGGAGCACTCACCTAGAGAGGGGGAGGGAGTGAGAGGGTGTGACCAGGCCTGCTGGCCACTACCCCCAGGCCCAGGAGATCCCAGACCCCAGAACAAGAGCAATCCGAGAAAGCCACCTGCACCCACGTGCCTTCAATGCAGGGCCCCAGGGCTGCCCAGAGCTTGGAGATGGAGCCATAGTTGATAATAGGCAAGGATGAATTACACAAAGAAGCAGTTATTCTGAATCGTGGGGAGTTTCAGATCAGAATTTCAGCCTTTGTTCTAGAGCGTGCAACCAACCAGGGGCACGGCAGACAGACCAGGCCCACTAATGCAGGTCTCCTGTCCCTGTTGGCAGGGGACAAAGGCACACTGTCTCTGCACACCAGGAGGGCACCGGTTCTCCACTAACACATCGAGTGTCACTGGCCAACAGTAGAGTGCTGTCCCTGGCACTGACCCAGGAAAGGGGAGGTTACCAGGAAACAAAAAGGCTGCTCCACGCATGAGAACAAGGAGAGTGGTATTTAACTCTACAAGGTGTGCAAGTAGTTTTAGAAAAATAGCCTGTATTGGCTCAGTTACTTCTGGCAGCTGTTGTCCAGGGCTGTCACAGGCAGTGGATGGGGTTGAATGTGTGATGTACGACTTGGGAGAGCAATTATAAAAGTCAAAATCGGTGACTAGTCTGCTAAGTCATTAGTTCTGGGATTCATGGTGTTCTGGGATTAAACTGGCTTTCTTTGTTCTGGTGCCCTAGGGCTGAAATTGCATTTCCAGTTCCGGAACAGGCAATTTTGGGAGCTGGGGTCTTTTATGACGATTCCTTTCCCTGGCTCGGCTTGTGGAGGACTCAGATTTCTAAAAGGCTGAAAGGCTGAAATGGGTGGAAGAGGTGGGTTAAATGCTCTCGCTGGAGTTGGTGTGAGTTTGAACTGGAAAAGCTGATAGGACCCCCTAAGAAGGGCAGGAGAAGCCACCTACCTGCTCCCCGGAGCCTCCCAGGTTCTCTAAAGACCACGAGAGCCCCTCAATGTGTACCTCGCAGGGTAGAGCTTCTGTCTCCCACAGTGACAATCACTTTGGAGCCTGTGGCCTCCTGGAAGCTGGTCTGGATGGGTGGACCTGACGGGCCACGATCCTCTAAGGGACACCCACCACTATCTGGGGAGGCAGCCAAGGCAGCTGAGTGAGCGCCCACTGTGTGCTGGGGCACCATGCCACCCATTTCACAGGTGAGAACACTGAGGCTCCAAGGCCAAATGCCTTGGTGGAACCTGGCAGAACTGGGTTCCGTGCAGGTGCGTCAGACTTCGCTGCCCAGTGTTCTCACACTGAATGAGCTGCTTCTCCCAGCAGCAGACCAGGGAGCTGAATTCATTCATCGGGCTGGGCAGGCTGCGGATTTTGTGGATTTTGGCTTCTGCGACAGCCGCGATCTCTTCATCGTTAGTGAATTTATGAAAAGAGAGAAGCATCCATTTTGCTTGACTGTCACTTGATCAGAACGAGTCCACGTGAGCAAAATGTGAACTCACACAGCCCAGGTAGTGACAGGCCCCAGGACCCAGCCTGCCCTGATTTCACAGGGTTCCCCTGGTCCAGCCCCAAACCTCCCCGGGCTGCAGGCCTCCCTGTGTCCCCTCGGCGGCATCCCGCCAGCCTCCTCTGGCATCTGCCCTTCAGGCCCAAGGCTGCCTCCTCCAGCTGGAAGGCCACTGCCCTCTGAGCAGGCACCGGCACTCCCTGCCCCCCACAGGTCCGTTTCTCCAGGATGTGAACTCCTGGAGAGCAGGGTGGGGCTCTCCCTGCTCCCAGAGCCCCCGCAGCTCCCAGGCTGTGGCCAATGCAGAGCCTTAGGTGACAAGACCTCCCTCCCCTGCAAACTGCCCCAGGGCTCCTGCTGCCAAAGCACCACCTCGGTCACTGACTGGAGGCTGCACCCTACTCCCCTGCCCAGCCCCGCCTCTGGTTCCCTGGGTGTCCTTTCTCCTCCCGACTGCCAGTTGCAGTCTTCTCCCAGCTCCTCCTCCCCCTCCAAGCAGGGGCCCAAGGCCTCCCCACCTCTCCTGCCCTGCGCAAGCCTGGGAGCTGCCCCCATCCCAGGGCTCCAAAGGCCATCTCTGGGTTGGAGGCTCCACCCCATGTCCCACCGGGCCCCCAGTTCCCCCAGGGAGCTCCAGACACCCCTCCCGGTGGGCCCCCAGCCTCACCTGGCTAGGCCACAGCCACCTCTAACTCCCTGGGCCCAGACTCCTCACCTCCTTCCCCCCATGCCGGCCCCCACCTCTGTGCTCCACGCCACAGTGAAGGACCATCATCGACCTGGTCACCCCAGCCCTCCCTCCCCTCAAGCCCGCCACTTCCAGATGGTCACCTGCCCCACCCAGTGGTGCTAGCCAGGTCCTGTCCTCAGTCTGCTTCCTGTTTCCCCTGCAGTCACCCCCTTTCTCTGGAGCTGCACCTGATGCGGAGCAACCTTTCCAAACACTCCCCTCTACTGAATGTGCCCCTGGGCCAGGGCCAAGGTACCTGTTCCAGGGCAGGGGCTTGCTGAGCAATACGGGGACCACATCTCAGGTGTTGCCGCCTGCAAGAGAGCACGTGGCCTGTGGGGTCTCCCCCTTTGTGTTGGCTCCAGATTCAAGTTGAGCCATTCCTCAACCTACAGGGCAGAGCCAGGAGGACTCCCCATAACTCCTTCCATGCTTCCCTCCCTCCCTCCTCCTCTACCAACTCCCAACTCAAAGCCCGCCACTTCCAGATGGTCACTGCCCCACCCAGTGGTGCTAGCCAGGTCCTGTCCTCAGTCTGCTTGCTGGTTCCCCTGTAGTCACCCCCTTTCTCTGGAGCTGCACCTGATGTGGAGCAACCTTTCCAAACACTCCCCTCATATATGTCATGCTTTCTTTAAAAATAAAATCCAGGAAGTCTAGCATGGGCTTCAACCTCTTTACTGTGAAATGGTAACAGGGGCAGACAATATATATTGAGCATTTGCCAGGTGTGAAGTACCATTCTAAGTGCTTTGCATATGTTATTAAAAACTCATTTCATCTTCACAATGCTACTATGTCCATTTTACAGGCAAGGAAACAGAGGCACAGAGATGTTCATTAACTTGCCCACGGTCACACAGCCTGGTGATGGGCGAGTTGGGTGGGATTGGACTCAGCCTGGCTCTAGAGCCTACACTCTTAGCCTGCACGGAACTGCCCGGAATCCACTGCATTTCACGATCTGATCACAAAGCCAGACCCCGCTTCCCCAAACCCTCTGTTCCAGCCCCTCAGCTCCCACCCGAGGCTCTGCCCCTGAACCTCACACATCTGCCTGTGCCGTCCCCTCCCCACCCACTCTCAGAGGCCTGGGGCAGCACAGCACTTATCATCGTCACAGTCACAGGGTGCATCTGTCTGCTCCCCAGAACCCACCGTGCTCCAGGTGAGGGGCTGGCCCAGAGCGGGGGGCTCCGGATCATGGTTATGATGTCAGTGGCCAGGCACGGAGGGCAGCGCACCTCCTCCTGGGACAGGAAGCTGTGGTGCCCGACCCAGCTGTGTGACCTTAGGCAAATCATGGACCTCACTGTCCCTCAGTTTCCCCATCTGTAAGACAAGGTACTTGGAATCAATGATCTCCAAAGATCTTTGCCTCTGTTGGCCAGAAGATGCTGTGGATTTTTATCTATCTAAGATCTTTGCCGGAGTTATTCTTACATAAATTCTTACCTCCAATTTCTCCGCTGGAAGGAAAACATTCACATTTACACCTGAGAGAGGAGAAATATTACCTCAGTGCTATTGTTTTTATTGCTCCAAAAATGGGGAAAACATGGTCCTACCTTTATACCAACAATGATGGTTTGGTTGGTCCCAAAAGGCTCTTGTGCAGTCACTTCAATTGTGGACGTCCCCATCATAGACCCTGACACCAGGAAGCCCTTCTCATCAATGTGCAGGGCAGGAACCTTCTCAGGCCCCTCCAGGATAGGGTAGCTCAGAGAGGCCACACCATCCCTACAGGAAGTAAAAGAAACCTGCTTTTTACATGGGGCTCTCAAGGACGCTGGGTAGTCCCACCTGTCCTGCCCCCCCCCACACTTAATCTTGGATTCCAAATAGCCGCGGTAGTCCAAGAAATTAACGTTGAGCCTTGAAGGAAGAGACGGAGTTGTCCAGGGGGAGGAGGGCTCAACAGGCTGGACAAAGCCCAGGGTCAGTTCTGGGAGCAACACGACCCCCAGTTGACCCAGGCCCGCTTGAGTGCGGAATCTGCGTCTGCTGAACTGCTCCCCACTAGCTCGAAAAGCCTTAGGTCTGGAGCTCTGCCCTGTTGCACAAAGGCCCCCAGTTCGCTCCCTCCTGGACCGCTCCCTGCCCCAGGCGAGGCCACATCCAACAAGGCAGCTCCGGGCATCGCAGAATCCCCGGGCTGCCAGCGGCGAGCCGGCCGGCGGGAGTGCTTGGCTGTGCCACGGAGCCCCCTTACTTGGGGAGCCCAGTCCCTACTCGACACCAAGCTCCAGGTCGGAGCCACGACCCCGCCCAGGTTCCCTGGGTGAGCCCAGCGGCCTCCTGGATGGCGAGGGCACTCCCCGCCGAGTCCCGAGGGACACGGGTCCCCAAGAAGTTCTCAAGCCCACACTCGCCCACCGCCCCGGGTTCCCGCTTATTTGCCGCGATGGCTGGCGGTCTCAGGGATGGCGCCGAGCTGTCCAGGGCCGGAGGGGCACGCGGAGGGGCACGCGCCAGGTGTCGCTCCGGCAGGCCGGGGTTCTCGCGCCTCACTTGGCACTCCAGCTCTTGCTGCACAGACGACCCGGGTAGCTCCTGCAGGTACCGGCCGCCTTGCTGGGGGCCCGGCTGCGCTGTCCACGGCCCCTGCCAAACGCAGGCCACACCTCAGAGGGGCGGGTGCCGGGGCGCTGGCCGGCGGCGCGGGGTTCAGCTTGGGGGCGCAGCGGTGCGTGGCCAGCGCTGCCCATCCTCAACTCGCTCCCGCCTCTGCTGGGGCCCGCCTCGGGTGCTGCCGGGCCTCCCGCTCCCCGCGCTCCCCCGCCCAGTGCTCCACGGACCCGCAGGGGCGACGGAGCGCGGAGCTGCAGCCGCCACGGACAGGCGAGGGGTCTGCACAGTGCCGCCGCGACGCGAGGGGGAGCCGGAGCTGGAGCGGCCCGCGCGGGAGGAGGCCGGAGAAAGAGCTTCTGTCCCTAGGACACTAGCCCCTTCAGCGCCCCGGTCCCCGGCACCTCCCTCTCCCTGGGCAATTGCAACAGCGGCTAGCAAAGCACAGGCGAGCGCTGGTTTGTCGGACCCCAGTCTCTTCCAGTCACCAGGCCACACCGCGCCACTCAGGGCCGCACACAATAGCGAAAAGTCCAAGGAAGCGCTTCGCCCGACCCCACCTTCTGCCTTCCCGAGGCCACTCGCCGTGGCTCCCCCCCTCCATCCCCTCCCCGCCGCCGGCGGGCAGCCTGCAGCGGCCGCAGGGCCTAGGCTCCTGCGCTCCGTATGCACGGCGCATCGCCGCGCCCTGGCGGGGAAACCTGGCTGTGCTTCCCGCGTCGGCTGCGTCCTCTCTTCTGAGGCGCGGGGAAGGTAGGTTGTCCCTGAGCTAGAGCTGACGGCTGCTCGACGCCTTCGTCGCGTGCGCTCCTCGCTCATCCCGCCTCCCGCCGCCGCCGCCTCTAGCGCCGCCGCAGCAGCTTCGCCTCAACTGCCCGAATCTGCTCAGCTCCTTTCCCGAGATCAGGGGACAGTGCGGGAGAAGCCGGTTGCATGTGCGGAAGCTGGAGCTGCGAGGGCTGCTGTGGCTTAGGCTGCCGTCGCTGCCACAGTGAACCTCGGACATCCAGCGGTGGCCAAAAAGAAAGAGGGGAGGAGGAGGAGGGAAGCAAGGAAGAGCAAGAGGGCTTGAGATTGGAGAGGCTCTTCTCTCGGTTGGGGATCAGGAGTTGAGGGCACCGGGAGCACTCGGGAGGCGGCTTGGAAAGGGAAGAGACTTGGAGTGAATTGTGCCCCTTGAAATGTTAGGCGGGGAAAGAATTCCTCCTCCTTCCCCCACCCCGACCTGTACAGGGAGGGAGAGAGGGAGGGAGGGATGGCGGGAGGGAAAGAAAGTGTCTTGGGCAGTCGGAAAGTAAGGAGAGGATGAAGAGATTCCGCTGGGATAAGGTCAGGCTCTGAGCACAAGCAAGGGACAGAGCAGTGGGTGGCACTGCGCCTCCTTGGGTGGCGGGAGCAGGCGGCAGCGGCACCGGAGAGTCGGAGGGGGACTGGCTGCTGCTGGCTCCTGCGTCCTGCACCGAGAGCGCCTGCCCGGGTGGAGGTTCTAGTTCCCGCCCCAGGATTCAGGTGCGACCTGCTTGGGGAGGAGGTGGCGCCCGGGCAGCCCCGGGAAGTGCCCACCTGTAATCTTGGGCGGATAAAGGGGAGGGGGTTGCGCAGGAAGAAAAGGAGGAGGAGGAGGGAGGCCAGGTGGACCGCCCAGCCAAGGCGCCTGGCCGCGGCCCAGAGGCAGGGTCGAAAAACCACTGCCTTGGCGGAGGCGGCGACGGCGCCCCGGGTGCCACCCAGAACCCGGCTCTCGTGCTCCCACCCGGCGGCCGGGTTAAAGAGATAGGCCAGGAATCCGGGGCCTGCTCGCCTGGGGCCTCGCCCGACCCGCTGCCAGAGGTCCCCGCGGGGCAGTTGTCCTGGGAAGGTGAGGAAAAGTGACTGTCCCAGAGCCACGTCTCCAGAATCAGCCTTGACCTGCGCCTCCACAGCGCGGAGCCAGCACTTCGCAGGAAGGCCCTAGCTGCGCCCGCGGCCGCGCTGCAGCTCCCCGCGAGTGGAAGGGGCTGCAGAGGAGTGGCGACGGCCCTGACAGCCCCGCTTCGCCCGCGCACAGACACACGCACGCGTGTGAACACATGCACACTCGCGAACGCGACGCACTCGCCAACACAGGCACATTTACTGCACACACCGGCACCCGGGGCGCGCCAGCTTCGGTGAGCCGTTTCCCTGGGACCTAGCAGGTTCCTAACCCCGCAACTGCACCAACCGCCCGACTTTCCCTACAGTTCACCTCAGTTTAACCTTCTCCCCAAGAACTCCCTTTCTGCCAGGGCCTGATGCCACGCCCCGGGCCGTCCCTGGGTTACGTGAACACCGTAATGGCCACGGTCCCTTCTTAAAGCGTGGAGCACGCTTGAAAACGAACCTCTCTCCATCCTTGAGTAACACAAAACTCTGAAAAGTTAGGTTCAGGTTTTCACACACGGCAACCAAAATTATTCTGGACTAATCCCAGAACAGAAACTTTCCCCTGGGGAAGAATTCTTCCCAAGACACGTACCGCCCGGAACAAACGCGCTCCCCGGCAGCCGCAGGCGGGGAGGTGGCGCCGCGGCCCCGCTGCGCGCGGAGGGCGCGCCGACGACGGCGTCGTGTACAGGAGCGGGAACCCGGCTTTCTCCCGGGCCTGGGAGCGTCCCATCACTGGGCTACCGCCCCGCGGACAGGGGACGGAGGGGTCTGACGGGAACCAAAAGTTTCCTGTCAGAGTTTGTCAGAAAAGATGGTATCGTGCACGCGCGCGCCTCCCGCAGAGCGCGCATGCTCCGTGGCCGGGGGTCTTGGCATCGCGATAAGCTAGGGACCCCCCCCCCCCGTGCTCCCGTGGGACTCTGTTTGCAAAGGGGCGGGGCGGATCGGGATGGAAAAATGGTCTGGCACTGCAGGGGCGGAGCCAGCGTCTGATTGACAGCCCAGAGGCCAATGAGGGGAGAAACGGCAGCTCAAGGAACGCACCGCCTACGGTTGAACTGTCACTGGCTCATAGGAGTTATAATGGGTTTTACCTGTCCTTAATCTGGCTCGGCTTGGCCAAGTGCTTTCAAAACTTACCTTCTCTGGCGATTTCTGCAAAGTTTTGGGGACACTATCACCCATCTTGTCTAGAGCACTTTGGTGAGCGCTATTACCCATGTCCATTTTACAGATGTGGCAACTGAGGCTTCCAGAAGCTAACCTAAGCAAGGACACAGCTGGGATCCCTGTCTAGGCAATTCTGACCCTACAGCCCGTCCTGTTAAAGGGTCTGCCGTTCTACTCGCCCTTAGAACTGGCGATCAGGGAGGAGCAGGGTCCCATAAAGAGACTGGGGTGAATGTGGTTGAGCAGATTGCTGGCGGAGGTGTCACAGGAGTGGGTCCTACCCAGGGTGACAGCTCAGAGGATGGAGACGGGAGGGGATTCAGGAGAGAGGAAGGTGAAAATGTGGCTGTCACGGGCCAGGCTGTCCCCTGGCTGTAGGAGCCTGGCAGCACTCAGTATGATGTGGCTTTGGGTTAACAGCAGGTGCGGAAAAGCTGTTCTCTTGGGGCTGTGTGTTTTCCAGGTGTGCAGTGGAGCATTCTGGGAGCATAGCGGTGTTCTAGTACCTAGAAGACAGTTGCCTTAGTTTGCTAGGGCTGTCATAACAAGATACCACAGACAAGGTGGCTTAGACAAATTTATTTTCTTACAGCCCCAGAGGCTGAGAAGTCTGAGATCAGTGTGCTGGCAGATGTGGTTCCCGGTGATGTCCCTTTCTGGCCACCATCTATCTGTCCTCCCATAGTGGACCAAGATCTCCCTCTCACCTCATAAAGCCATCAATTGTGTTGGATTATGACCACACACCTATGACCTCGTTTAACCTTAACTGCCTCCTTAAAAGCCTTATTTCCAAATACAGTCACAATGGGGGTTAGGCCTTCAACGCAAGAATTTGGGGAGACACAGTCCATTCCATAAGACATGGGGAGGTGAAATAAAGTCTTTAATGAAGATAAATTAGAACATTTAAATAAATAAACAAACAATCCTTGCTGGTAGTAAACTGAGCCTGGCCTAAATTAATTTGCCATGGTTTTTTGTTTTTGTTTTTTTTTTGAGGCAGAGTCTCGCTCTGTTGCCTGTGCCAGAGTGCTGCGGCTGTGGTGCGTGCCACAATGCCTGGCTAATTTTTCTATTTTTAGTAGACATGGGGTCTCACTCTCACTCAGGTTGGTCTTGAACTCCTGAGCTCACGTGATCCTCCTGCCTCGGCCTCCCAGAGTGCTAAGATTAAAGTTGTGAGCCACCACGCACGGTCTGCTATGTTTTTTCTTTACTACCCCTATTAACTAAGATCGTGGGTATCTGTGACTATAAGATAAGTTTGTGGTTTATAGTAATTTTTCATAGTCCTGTGGACCAACGCTCCTCACCCCTGCAATTCTCTATCACTGATAAAAGGCACTTAGGAGCTCAAGGGAAAAGATGTGATCCAAAAGATAGGCTGAGATCCTGAAATTTGATACCTAATAGAACATAATCTCACTTCTTTTGATTCTCATGTTAATTTTTATTATACTTATTTTACATGTGAAGAAATAGAGGCCCTTAAAGTTAAGCAGATTGCCTAAGGACGTGTTTTAAGGAGGCGCAAAGTCTGTATCTAGAGCCAAACTTACCTATTCTGATTCTTTTTTTTTGAGACAGAGTCTCACTCTGTTGCCTGGGCTAGAGTGCTGTGGCATCAGCCTAGCTCACAGCAACCTCAAACTCCTGGACTCAAGCAGTCCTTCTGCCTTAGCCTCCCGGGTAGGTGGGACTACAGGAAGGTGCCACCATGTCGGCTATATATTTTCTATATATTTTTAGTTGGCCAATTAATTTCTTTCTATTTTTAGTAGAGACGGGGTCTCATTCTTGCCCAGGCTGGTTTTGAACTCCTGACCTTGAGGGATCCTCCCTCCTTGGCCTCCAGAGTGCTAGGATTACAGGCATGAGCCATCATGCCAGGCCCCTCTTCTGATTCTTAACCCTTTGCACTCGGATGTCGAGTGTGGATAACGTCGAGTGGATAATGAGAATAAAGCAAGCGAGTGCAAAGGGTTAAGCCTTATTCTTTGCGTATTTTCACCACCCATGATGAAATAACCTAAGAAAATAACCACCTTCAGCAGAAGAGAAACCTCCCTCTTTATTCTTTACAGAAATATTGGCAGTCATGGGTGCCTCATTCTCCTGAGAGGACTCGAGTCCTCTGAGAGGGACTTGGAATTTGACGCCTCAGATGTGCCCAAGCACAGCTTTGTGGGATTACTCCAAGCAGCTGGTGAGGTAAGCACACCTCAGACATCTTTCTGGCTCCAGTCAAGGCCGGACACCTCCATCCACATAGCTGGCTGGGCACCTACCCAGCAAAGCTTCCTGTGAGCACAGCATGGCTTGGTCCAGTTCGTTCACGGCTCCAGGTCTGGTTCCCATATCCTAAGTGTGACCCAGAACTTCTCCACGCCCACAACCACTGGCCCAGCTTTAAAAACTCTTTGTACATTCACTCCTCCTCTTCCTTCCTCTCCCAGAGATTGCCATTCTCTTTATTATTCCCTTTCTTCTTGAGTATCCTCTCTCCTCTCGGTTTATACGGACATCTTAGAGACCCTCAAGCTGCTACAAATCAAAATTTTAAATGACAAGCTGTCATGCGCACAGTGCCAGACGGTGGCAGATATCACTGTCACCTACCTGCAGATGAGGAGCTCTTGCCTCTAGGTGGGGGGAGGGGGGAGAGAAAGGACCCCAGGTCTGAGCCCAGGAGTTCTCTTTTGGTGGGTGATGACATTTGGAACCAAGTGGGACCTGGGGTATGAGTGCCTTAAGTTTCTCAACAGTGTGATGGAGCCCATATCTTGTCCCCTGAGCACACCTCAGGAAATGTGACCTAGGCAGGTGGAAGACACAGTAATGGAGTGAAGGGGCGAGCCAAGGGGGCGAAGGACCGAGATGACAATGGGAGGGATTTGGGCTTGGTCTGGGCATCTGACCTGGTCCTCAGATTGTGTCCTAAACCTCCTCCTGGGATACTGTAGGCAGTCACCTTTGTTATTGTGACTCAACTAATCCTCCCTATCAATTTTCTAGCCTGTTTAAATCCACTCACCTGCCTGCTAGCCCAGCTCTACACTGAATATTCATGGCATCTACCTGTCTATCTGGCCACGTGCTTTTGCACTTACTTTCCTGACGCTGGGCTAACTTGCTTTCTTATTTTCCTGGTTAACTACTACGAGGAGGTACCCTTCTTCCGGTTTACCTGCCTTCCCTTGGTACCGTTGTCTCGAGACCTAGACCTCTGACCTCCCAGGGACTTTCCCAAGTTGCTTCCACAACTTCTGCCCACCTTCCTGATGGTTCACTCACAGCTGCAGGGGACACTCTGTGCTCTGGAACCTCCGGTCCCCTCCGTCACCCCAACACACAAGCCAGAGAGACATTGCAGGCTGAGACCTTGTCCCTCCTTGCATGCTTGTCCTCTTGTACACGAAGCTCTTGCCCTCCAGCGCTGGGGAGGTGCGTGATGGATGGGTCGGGGTGGAGGTGAGTGAGCTCCTGGCCTCTTGAGAGAAGAGAGTCACTTCCTGAGCAAAGCTGATTCTCACAAGCCTGGGGACTTGTCTTGGGATGAGCCTGGGAACAGCCGGTCCTTCTCTTTCCAGGAGCCTCAGGGAGGACTGGCGGACGCGTGTACCTCGGTCCTAGCGGCTCTGGGGTCCCGCAACCCAGGAATGATAATCGATATGCTGTTGTATGAATCAGAGGACAACACACTGCCCCTAAGGAGCCTCCTGGTGGCAGTGGGGGACCTCAGCCTCCGCTCAGGTCTGGACCCTGCGATGGGACTGGGAGAGTCCGTGGGAGAGGAGGATGGGGCGGCAGGGGAGGGGGCGCTGTGTGGGGTCTTTTTTTTTTTTGAGACAGAGTCTCGCTTTGTTGCCCAGGCTAGAGTGAGTGCCGTGGCGTCAGCCTAGCTCACAGCAACCTCAAACTCCTGGGCTCAAGTGATCCTCCTGCCTCAGCCTCCCGAGTGCCTGGCTAATTTTTTCTATATATATTAGTTGGCCAATTAATTTCTTTTCTATTTATAGTAGAGACGGGGTCTCGCTCTTGCTCAGGCTGGTTTCGAACTCCTGACCTCGAGCAATCCGCCCGCCCTGACCTCCCAGAGTGCTAGGATTACAGGCGTGAGCCACCGCGCTCAGCCTGTGTGGGGTCTTGATTCTCCTAGTTCTTCTCAGGGGACAGCTCCACTTGGGCCATCTCGGGGTGTGGGCAGGAGGAGGGGCACAAACCAGGATGCCTGTGGGGCTGATGGGAACTCAGGAGGAGTTCCTGGGGACAGGAATGTCTCTGAATGAAGAGTACCTGGCTGTGAGAGACCTGGCTGGAGGGAAGACTGAGGAGCAAAGATGGGAGCACAAGGTAGAACAGAAAGCCCCATTCCGCAGTGACGGAAGGGGCGAAGGTGGCGGCGAGGAGACATTGCTTAGGGCACACTGGGGCTGTGGATGGGATGGGAGGCTTGGCAGGCACCCGTGTAGCAGGATGAGGTAGACAGTCAGCACACAATCTGCATCCTCCACGCTGTCCCTGTGGCACCTGGTGGCAGCAGTAGTTCTCTTACCCATTCTACTCCTTTCTCTCAGTCAAAAGCAAATCAAGTCGCTGGGCAAATGACAGTCCCTGCCCTTTGTTGACCACTGGGAGCTGGGGCCAAAGAGAGTCTGGGGAGTCAGCCGGCTTTCTGGGCATCGGGTTCCAAAGGACAAGGCACGAGGGTTGGGCTACACGGCAAGCCCAGGGGACACAGCAACAGAGGCTGGAAATGTGTCCCCTGACCTCATCAGGACAAATGCTCTCACATCGAGCGGAGACAGCACATGTCTCAGGTTCCTCCAGTGTTCCTGAAAGGGGGCGCGTGTGTAGGTGGTGGCAGCCCCAGCTTTTGTGTGCTGTGCTCGCACCGACGTGGAGCTTTACCCTCCCAGTGCTCTGTGGCAGGCAGGTCAGGACTGTGGTCCCATTTCACAGCTGCAGAAACTGGAATTTAGATCAATGCAGTACCTTGCTCCAGGTTCCCAGACTCTTTGCAGGCAAAACTAGGGGCAGAAGCCAGGCCTCATGGCCCCTAATCAGTAAGGCCTCCTACACAACAGCGTGGCTGGAAGGCCCCCCTTGCTAGGATGGGGCTGTCATTCTTGCTCTCTCCCTCCCAGCTACAGCCAGGTACCTTGGTACCACCTGGGAAAGCATCCTGAGCCTGCTGAGGAAGACCTGGGAGGAGGACATGTTGGTGCAGTGTCAGGGCGAGGGTCCGGGGTCTGGGGAAAGCTCTGCGGGAATCAGGGAGGGAGCAAAGAAGGGCAGGAAAAGACAGGGTGTTTGAATGTGGATCCCCGAAGCCTGGGGAAGGGGCGGGAAGTGGCGGGGAGCAGGCCAGGGTGTGAACAGATGCTCTGCTCCATTGCCTGGTTTGGGGCGAGGACCAAACTTGATTGGGATGCTGTGTGTATTGAGGGCCTCGCCAATTTCTTTGTCCCTCTGGGTGGACAGGTGACATCAGGGGAGGATAGTTGGGGAGATGGTGAATGGGCAGTGCTGCCAGCACAGGGCCCCAGAGACCCTCTTAGAGTCAGGAGGGGGACTGTGTGCACATGTCTGTGTGTCTGTTTCCTCCGTGGGGAGGGAAAGGTGATGGCAGCTCCAACTCCCTGCTCCCCTCGCAGTGCTCAGTGGACTGGCCACCAGTGCTCAGGATCTCCTGGATATGGCCTCTCCGGAAGACCCAGTGATGGACAAAACCTCCGACCAAGTAGCCATCAGGGCCCATTTCACTCTCCTGCTTTTTTCCAACCATAAGCCCCTGGTGAGCAAAAGCAAGGTGGGAGTGGGAGGTAGCTGGGGTTGGGGGATGGGCTGAGGGGGAGAGGCTGGAGCGCCAAAGGTGGGGAGGGGCAGGGTCTGTCCACTTGCTTGTGAAAGGCTGACTCACCAGGCTCTTCCAGGGGGGCAGGGGACCCTGTTCAGCCACCTCTTCCCCTTGTTCAGAAAAGGTAACAGTCAGAAAACATGCCACTGTCCTTCACATATTGGTTAATCATGCGGTTCTGTCATTTGCATTTATTGGGCACCCTCTACCTGCCAGCCACCGGGCTGGGCCCTGGGAGCACCAAGACGAGCTGAGGCAAACTCATTCTGTCTCCTTGTACGCAGGTGGCAGAGAAAGCTCTGGAGACCACCGCCCATCTCTTCCTCCTCCTACGTCCTCCATACTCGAGAGGCAGGTGATCTGGTTAACCCAATGGCTAATGAACTTGACATCAACACAAGTGAAGTTTTTCTACCTTTGCAAGGAGATTGGGATGGGGGTGAGAAGGAAATGTACCTAATTCATGCATTCCATATTTATTGAGTACTTCATGCTATAGCACATGTTCGTAAATAAGGTTTTACTGGAACTTGGCCATGCCTATCATTTGCATAGAGTTTGCATCTTGTCACAAGGCTGCCTCAGAGCTACAACAGGGGAGTGTGCCAGCTGCCACAGAAACCCTGTGGCTGGCAAAGCCTAAGATATTTCCTATCTGGCCCTTTTACACAGAACGTTTGTTGACCCCTGAGTGAGTGCAGCCCGCATTCATTGAGCTGCTACTCTACCCAGGGGAACTGGAGATGGACACGCCACTGTGCTTGTCTCAGAGCTGCTTTCTAGCTATGTATGGGGAAAAGGGAATAGAAGAAGCAGAGAAACTGTGATTAGTTCTGCCTGCAGGAATTTAGGGAAGTTTCTCCGAAGGGATGACATTTGAATCGTACTTTGAAGAATGAGGCAGACGGCATAGACCAGTAACAAGTAAGGAGGGTGCATCAGTAGTAAAAAGTCCCCCATGAAAGAGAAACTCCAGGACCTGATGGCTTTGCTGCTGAATTCTACCAAACATTTAAAGAACTCGTAACAACACTTCTTAAACTCCTTCCCCAAATCGAATAAAAGTGAAGAAACTCATTTTATGAGGCCAGCATTACTTTTATGCCAAAACCAGACAAGGACACTACAAGAAAAGCAAGTTATAGGCTAATATCCCTGATGAATATACATGCAAAAATCCTCAACAAAATGCAGCCAACCAAATTCAACCGCACATTAAAAGCATCATTGACTATGATCACGGGGGGATGCATGATCTTTTGGATGCAGGGATGGTTCAACACACACAAATCCATAAATATGATACAGCACATTAAGAGATTGAAGGAAAAGAACCATGTGATTATCTCGAGAGATGCAGAAAAAATAATTTGACAAAATTCAACACCCTGTCATGATAAAAACTCTCAACAATTAGGCATAGACAGAATGTGCCACGGCAAAATAAAACCACATGCGACAAGCCCAAAGCTAACATCACACTCAGTGGACAGACGTTGGGAGCTTTTTCTCGTTTTGCATCACAGCCTTATTCACAGTAGCCAAGGCACGGAATCCATCTAAGTGTCCATCCAGAATGAATGGGTACAGAAAACAGGGCACACGCACAGTGGGACACTATTCAGCCTTTCGACAGAATAAAATCCTGTCATTTGTGACAACATGGATGAAACCGGTGGGCATTATGTTCAGTGAAAGAAACCAGGCAGAGAGACAAATACCACATGATGTCACTTCTGTGTAGAAACTAAAAAAGTTGAACTAATGACATTGTATTGTATACACGAAAATTACTGTGTAGGTTTTAAGCGTTCTTGCCACATAAAATACTGAGTATATGAGGCGATGTGTATGTTAATTAGCTCAAAATGTAGTCATTCCACAGTATGTCCATATTTTAAAACATCATGTTGTACACCATGACCGCATATGATTACGGTTTGTCAAATAACAAAAGGAGGCAGGCAGTCGCCAGGCTGAGTTGGGGAGGGCACTGAAGGCACAGGGAGCAGGGTGAGCCTTTGCTCTCAGAGGCCGGTTGCTGGGGCAACCTCTGGGTAGATGGGAAGGGACTGGCTCCCATGAGTGAGACCAAGGGGCAGAGAAGAAAAGTCCTCCCTGTGCATTGGAAGTGCACCCAGGAATGGAGCACCCTCACGGGTTTGGTCCCTCGCTGTTGCCAGTTCCTGTACAGCCTGTGAGGACTGCTGCCCAGGGGCTGGACACAGTCCTGTTTTATGACACATACAGGGTTCTGAAGAGCCCATGTTGCACAGGACCCTGGAGAAATGGTTTTATAATGGTTTTATCCAGTGATTCTCAGCGTGTTTTAAGACTCAGACCCTTTGAGAATCTTTTGAAAGGCACATTCACATAGAATTTTGCATACACTTTTGGGGAGTCACAGAGCCTCTGAAACTCACCCCTGGTCCCCAGATTAAGAACTGCTCCTTTAAGCTGCTGTAATTTAGGGCTTAGCAAGAAAGAGGACTTAAGAATCAGTTTTCAGGATCTAAAGGTCATTTGTGATCAGGATGGGGAGGGAGGGAGGTTTCTGCAGGGAAGTAGGGTTAAGAAGTGAGGGGCCCCTGAGGGAAGAAAAGGTACAAAGGGAGCAGCGAGCCCCAGGAGACCTCTGGGTGAACTTGGCCCACTGGCTCGAGGCCCAGGCTGGTCAGAAAGGACCTGGCCGGAGTGGCCTTGCCCTGTTTTCAAAAGGCCACTATGTGCGAGGGGAGGTGTCTTGGGGTCTCCATAGGAAGTGCTCTGCTTGTTAGATGGAAAAGCTGTGAAAGTTTCTTAACAACAACTGCAAGTAGACTATGGGGAGATGGAAATCAAAGAGCAGTCACCAATCCTCCTGGGTGACTGGGCAGTGTCTAGAGGAGAAGGTCCCTGAGACATACACGGGCACTTGCTAAGAGCACTCACGACCTTTGTAGAAACCACAACCTCCTGTCCTGTGCATGGTCCTCTGAAGGTGCCTTGAGATGCCTCTGGTCCTTCCAGCAGCCCTAGGGGAGGACGGCACAGGAAGGCATTTGGTTATTCTCCCACCCTCAGCCCCTTTCTTGCTGGCGAGGACCATGGGCTCAGAGGGCTCGCCCAGCTGGGAGGCAGCGTGCCAAGGCTGACTGTGGAAACTTCTGGCATGTGAGTCCCCAGATGGTATCTACCAGCTGCGAGGCTTGAGCCAATCACCCGCCTTCCCTGAGTCTCCGTTTTCCAATCTGTGGAATGGTAACAGTCCAGCTGCCCCCCAGGGGCAGTGCGGGGTTCCCCCAAGTGAGGGCGGTGGAAGCGCAGTGCGCGGGTGGATCCCTTTCTGTGGCTGCAGCACATCGCCACAACATCCACTCCTATGGTTGCGGACCGAGCTGCCTCTGCCCTTGCTGGCTGGCAGCCAGGGGCAGCCCTCCCCTCTTGGAGGCCACCCATGTCCTTGTCCTGAGGCAGCCTCCCACATCAAAGCCAGCAATGTTCTCCCCATTGGTCCCTCTCATTCTTTGAGTCTCTCTGACCTCCCTGTCTCTGACCTCTAGACCTGGATGTAAAAGGGCTCATGTGGTTAGGTCAAGCCCAAGGTTTAGTCTAACCCAGGGGTTCTCAAACTACAGCCTGTGGACCACATGCGGCCCGCCCCCAGGCCACCAGGTGTTTTTGCTGCTGCTGCCTGTCCTGCTTAGCAGCCGACTCGTCCTGGGCCCATAGTGCGCATGTGTGGAATGTGCACCGCACTCTCCAACGGTCCTCCAATGGTCTGAGGGACAGTGAACTGGCCCCCTGTTTGAATAGTTTGAGGACCCCTGGTCTAACCACTAGTCCAAGGTCAAGTGATTTGATAATTACCTCTGCAGGATCCCTTATCAGCAACACCTAGAGCAGTGCTTGCCTGAGAGACAGGAGTGTGTGCACCAGGGGCCTGGACATTGGAGGGTGATCTCAGAATTCCGCCTACCACAGGAAGGTTATTCCAACATTAGAGGATTCTTCTTAGCAGAGGACCCAGAACCAGAATCCCAACTTTCTGGTTGTTATTTCAGTGCCCTTTCTTTGGCATTTCTCAGTCCAAATTCCCACCAACTTTTAATGGGTATTCTGTGAAAAAGAAGCCACGTTATTTAGTAAAATGGGTGGGAAACACCGAGGTAAATGAGTTTCTCAGCTGGAGGACTTCTCAGAACTTCTAATGTGGTGGGTTAGTCTGGTCCTCCAAAAAGCACATGTCAACATGGAACTAGCAGTGTGAGAAATTTATTGAAGAAAAGCCTGTCAGAAAAAACAAGGACAGAGCAGGAGGAGGGTGGGACAGCCTTCAGACTATGTTGCAGGTCTGATCCTTGATAAGGAGAAGAAGGGAGGCAGGCAGGAAGGTCCTTCATCCCAGTGTAGTTCTAAGAAAGTCTCAGCAAGGCCAACAGCGAGTGATCAGAGTCACCCACCACAGAAGTCCCAGGTCTGGCTGGACTAGGCCCACCTCAGTGGACCTGCCATACTCAGTCACTGGCCAGGAGAAGCCTGGGCTAGGCCAGGTCCCTGAAACGTGGGTAAGGGGGGCCTAAGAAGCCTTCTGAGCCTCTGAGGGGTGGGCTTGGGGCCTTTGCTTCAGAGATGAGAAGGAAACAACCAGGGCTGTTGGAGGAAGGGGGCGAGAGTGAAGCCCGCAGAGCCAGCACCTTCCATAACAACACCGTTCAGATGGGCAAGGGGAGGGGGCAGGGCCAGAGACAGGCGACCTGGGGCCTCTCATTTACATAATGTGCTAGCCCCCTCGGGTGGGTGGGACTCTTGTATCCCCTTGCATGCCTTCTCCGTGACTAGCTGTGAAGATTTCCTTTGGGGGACTGTCCTGTGCCATGGAAGACCCAGGCCTGGGCTCCGAATGCTCTCCCTTGAGCATTCCGGGTCCTGAGCCTGCATCATGGCCTGTCCTCCAGAGGCATTGGTTTCATGGTCCTGATGCTTCCTGAGCAGTGTGTATCCCAAGTCCTGCCTCAGAGAGGTGGCACCAAGGACCCTAGTGCCAGCCCCCTCTCCCACTGCTCTGCCTCTGTGGCCTCTGACATCTGAGCCCCACACTGCACTGAGGTCGCTGTGTCTGCCTGCCACCCCAAAGACTCTGGCTGTGGGGACATTGTCCTCTGGGAACTCAGCAGACAGCACAGGCCTAGGACAAAGGGCATCTTGCTCCCAAGAGGGGTTCTTCCTCATCCCCTTCCCAGGAAGGGTGGTCCGGGCCGTCTGAGGCAGGGTGCCCAGGTGAGCCCAGACTGATGGCCCGTGTTGCAGGTGTTTGCAGAGTACTTCACCCAGATCCAGCTCTGCAACCTGGTGCTGGAGGCCATGGAGGGCCATGGAGGGCAAGGCTGAGTTTTCTCTGGCTGCTGCCCAGCTGATGTGCACTGTCATGAAAGAGCAGGGCAGAGACATGAGTGACCCTATGGCAAGAGCTCTGCCCTGTAAATCAGGAGCCCTGGGCTCTCTCCTGGCTGTAGTGCTGACCAGACGAAGGGCCTCTGGCAAGTCCTTTCTCCTCTGTTGATCTTAATTCACTCACTGATAAAATATAGACTTGGACTTGATTTTCTCTGTGGTCCCACTAAGCCGTGATATTTGTGATCCTGAGCTCAAAACTGCCTCCTGGGTTGGGGTCTGGCTCCTCAATACCACCATGTGCAGGGCTGTAGGCAGCTGGAGTGGCTAAAAGCCAGAGTATGGGGAGGCATTGCTGGGGCATTCACCTGATTCCCCGGGATGTCGGGGCTTAGGCTGTGGATTGCAAATCAACAAGCTCATGGGGTGACTCTGACCTTTGAATGCCTTGTCTTTTCTTTTTAGTTTAACATGAAAGATTTTGTGTAAAAGTCTACATGTCCCATTTCACTGAAAAAAATTCAAAATGTGGTCACCTAGGCCACCTGTGTGGCCATTGTCCCTTTTATAGATAGGGCATGGGCCCTCTCAGACCATCCTACTCTCACTGAGTCCCCTGACACCCATTGTCCTCACTCACTTACGTCACCTGCCTAGCCAGGGGACCAGAACTGGAAGGACGCGCTGAGGGTGTCTGGAAGCACTGTGCTGCAGTGGCCTTCCCAGGGACTGTGTTAAGGGCTTGAGGGCCAGGACAGAGCCTGGGACACCCCACCTCCAATGCCACTTGTCCCTGCAGTGCTGAGGGTTGAAATTGATGGGAAGTTGATCCCAGCTGGAAGGGGAACCTCTAAAATGTCTGCAGGGCCCTTGCCTTACCTCCTGGTGGACTGGCACCTTCCTGAGTAACCTGGGGGCTCATCTACAAGCTTTGGGGCTGTGGGCAGCCATTTGCCACAGCAGCCTTGGTGCCAGCTTCTAGCGTTTTGTTCTGTGGCCCCTGCTGGTCTGGCATCTGGTGCCCCAGAATTCTGCCGTGGGAAGGGCGTCACTGGCAGGACCGCAACTAGGCCCCTTGAGTTGGGAGTTGGTAGAGGAGGAGGGAGGGAGGGAAGCATGGAAGGAGTTATGGGGAGTCCTCCTGGCTCTGCCCTGTAGGTTGAGGAATGGCTCAACTTGAATCTGGAGCCAACACAAAGGGGGAGACCCCACAGGCCACGTGCTCTCTTGCAGGCGGCAACACCTGAGATGTGGTCCCCGTATTGCTCAGCAAGCCCCTGCCCTGGACAGGTACCATGGCCCTGGCCCAGGGGCACATTCAGTAGAAGGGAGTGTTTGGAAAGGTTGCTCCGCATCAGGTGCAGCTCCAGAGAAAGGGGGTGACTAAAGGGGAACCAGCAAGCAGACTGAGGACAGGACCTGGCTAGCACCACTGGGTGGGGCAGGTGACCATCTGGAGGTGGCGGGCTTGAGGGGAGGGAGGGCTGGGGTGACCAGGTCGATGACGGTCCTTCACTGTGGCGTGGAGCACAGAGGTGGGGGCCGGCATGGGGGGAAGGAGGTGAGGAGTCTGGGCCCAGGGAGTTAGAGGTGGCTGTGGCCTAGCCAGGTGAGGCTGGGGGCCCACCGGGAGGGGTGTCTGGAGCTCTCTGGGGGAGCTGGGGGCCCGGTGGGACATGGGGTGGAGCCTCCAACCCAGAGATGGCCTTTGGAGCCCTGGGAGTGGGGGCAGCTCCCAGGCTTTCGCAGGGCAGGAGAGGTGGGGAGGCCTTGGGCCCCTGCTTGGAGGGGGAGGAGGAGCTGGGAGAAGACTGCAGCTGGCAGTCGGGAGGAGAAAGGACACCCAGGGAACCAGAGGCGGGGCTGGGCAGGGGAGTAGGGTGCAGCCTCCAGTCAGTGACCGTGATATCCTGCAGGAGGAGGTGGTGCTTTGGCAGCAGGAGCCCTGGGGCAGTTCGCAGGGGAGGGAGGTCTTGTCACCTAAGGCTCTTCATTGGCCACAGCCTGGGAGCTGCGGGGGCTCTGGGAGCAGGGAGAGCCCCACCCTGCTCTCCAGGAGTTCACATCCTGGAGAAACGGACCTGTGGGGGGCAGGGAGTGCCGGTGCCTGCTCAGAGGGCAGTGGCCTTCCAGCTGGAGGAGGCAGCCTTGGGCCTGAAGGGCAGATGCCAGAGGAGGCTGGGGGGATGCGGCCGAGGGGACACAGGGAGGCCTGCAGCCCGGGGAGGTTTGGGGCTGGGCCAGGGGAACCCTGTGAAATCAGGGCAGGCTGGGTCCTGGGGCCTGTCACTACCTGGGCTGTGTGAGTTCACATTTTGCTCACGTGGACTCGTTCTGATCAAGTGACAGTCAAGCAAAATGGATGCTTCTCTCTTTTCATAAATTCACAAACAATGAAGAGATGGCGGCTGTCGCAGAAGCCAAAATCCACAAAACCCGCAGCCTGCCCAGCCCGATGAATGAATTCAGCTCCCTGGTCTGCTGCTGGGAGAAGCAGCTCATTCAGTGTGAGAACATTGGGCAGGGAAGTCTGACGCACCTGCACGGGAACCCAGTTCTGCCAGGTTCCACCAAGGCATTTGGCCTTGGAGCCTCAGTGTTCTCACCTGTGAAATGGGTGGCATGGTGCCCCAGCACACAGTGGGCGCTCAGTCAGCTGCCTTGGCTGCCTCCCCAGATAGTGGTGGGTGTCCCTTAGAAGATCGTGGCCCGTCAGGTCCACCCATCCAGACCAGCTTCCAGGAGGCCACAGGCTCCAAAGTGATTGTCACTGTGGGAGACGGAAGCTCTACCCTGCGAGGTACACTTTGAGGGGCTCTCGTGGTCTTTAGAGAACCTGGGAGGCTCCAGGGAGCAGGGAGGTGGCTTCTCCTGCCCTTCTTAGGGGGTCCTATCAGCTTTTCCGGTTCAAACTCGCACCAACTCCAGCGAGAGCATTTAACCCACCTCTTCCACCCATTTCAGCCTTTCAGCCTTTTGGAAATCTGAGTCCTCCACAAGCTGAGCCAGGGAAAGGAATCGTCATAAAAGACCCCAGCTCCCAAAATTGCCTATTCTGGAACTGGAAATGCAATTTCAGCCCTAGGGCACCAGAACAAAGAAAGCCAGTTTAATCCCAGAACACCATCAATCCCACAACTAATGTGCTCATCCAAGTCCAGGCCATGGAGGCCAGCACAGGAACCAGGATGGTTCCAGTCCGTGCCTTCATGGAACCTCCCACTGCGCCCGGGTCGGAGCCGTCCCAAGTCAGCCCTGCTCGCCCTGCAGCCCAGTGTTGGGCTGGGGTGTCTGCCACTTATTCTCCCTCATTTTGGGCTGGGCTGGCTGGGGCCTGTGATGCAGGGCCAGCCCTTGCATGATTCTTACTGCCCAGGAGTATCACTTAAAGGAGGATCATGAGGTCAGCCATGTTGCAGCATTCCCCTGACACCAATCAGAATTTCAAGAAAAAGAAATGGAATATTTCAAGAATACACATGATGAGGTCTTTAAAAGCCTAAAGTTATTACAGATTTTCAAACTATAAACAGAAAGGTCCCTGAAGCATTGTACAGGTTTAAATTTCTAATAAACTAAATATCAATGTCTATAACCATGTAAACAATAAACACTTGTTTTCTTTGAAGAGGAAAATGTTCTTGGGACCCCAAAATGAAAAAAACACAGTAGGTTTTACCCAGCCAGGATTGGCCCATTTCTTGCTCTGACCTCATAAAGAGCCATTGTTCCCAAATTCCCTGCACCTATATAAGCCCTGGCTGGGCCTGGGGTTTCGGTCCTTGTTGCCCAGGAAGCTGCTTTTGGTGACCTGTGGTGTGTGACTGTAGTGATACTGCTTTTTCTTCGTTAGTGAGTATTGTCAGTGTAGTTAGTATAGTTAGCATTGTTGGTTAGTTGTGTTAACGTAGCATAGTTAGTACTGTTTGTTAGTTTTGTTACCATGCTGTAGTTAGTACTGTTTGTTAGTTTTGTTACCTTACTATAGTTAATATTGTTCGTTAGTAGCTTTAGCGTAGCGTAGTTTATATTCTTTTTATTAGGATAGTATACTTACTGTTGTTCTTTTGATGTGTTAGTACAATTAGTCTTGTTAGCCCATTTAGCATTATTTATTAATATCGTTGGTGTAGTTCTTATAGTGTAGTTAGTACTGTTAGTACCCTTAGCCTAGTTAGTGTGGTTCAGAGTGTTCATTACTTAATAAGCACAGTTAGTATAGTCTTAGCATAGAGGGGACCATGGCGCTGACCTTGGACTACAGTCTACCAGTGGAGGAGTTGGACAATTATGACTTCCTCGAGACAATTGGCTATGGCACGCAAGGCCACGTGATGTTGGCCATACACATTCCCACTGGGACAAAGGTGGCCCTGAAAATTATGTCTAAGAGGGCTTACCCCACCCTGGACTGGCTCCACATGGAGATCAATGCGATGAGGGCCCTCGATCACCCCAATGTCCTCAAGCTTCTCAATGTCATCGAGAGTGAAGATACTGTGTGGTTGGTGACAGAGTACGCCAGTAGTGGGGACCTTTTGCAATACATAAGGAGTCACCAGCGCCTGAGCGAGGAGGAGGCCCGTCCCATATTCTGCCAGCTGCTGAACGCGGTGCAGTACTGCCACGAGAACCACATCGTCCACCGCGACCTAAAGCCCGACAACATTCTACTGGACGAGCACATGAACGTTAAACTAGCTGACTTCGGCCTCGCAGGGACTTTCAGTGAGGAGAATTACCTGCACAGATTCTGTGGAACTCCCACATTTAGTGCCCCAGAAATATTCCTGCACAAGGAATATGTGGGACCCGAGGTGGACGTCTGGAGTCTGGGTGCTGTCCTCTACCATATGATAGCCGGGCGTCCGCCATTTGTTGGTGGCAACTTGAAGCAACTGAGAATGAACATCACCCAGGGAAGATATGAAACACCTGCATTCTTTTCTCGAAAACTAAGAGCACTTTTGAAGAAGTTCTTTACCCTAGATGCCAAGTTGAGGCCCACCCTCCCTGAACTTATAACCGATGTTTGGATCCAGGGTAAGCAGGCAGAGGACACGAGCAGGAAAGACACACTGTCTGTGAGTCTGGAGGGGACCAGTAATGGCACAGGGCTTTTGACTCCAGAGAGGAGCAGGAAAAGCACAGTGCCTTCGAGTCTGGAGGTGACCAAGAAAGGCACAGGGCTTTTGACTTCAGAGTTGAGCAAGCAAAGCAGAGTGCCTTGGAGTCTGGAGGTGAGCAGGAACTACACAGGGTTTTTGTCTCAGGAGACGAGCAGGAAAAGCACAGGGCCTGCCACTCCTCTAGTCAGTGGGCAGTTGAGTCCCAGTATGAGAGCCCCCCAGCATGGCCTCATGGGCTCCATGTTCACCCAGAGCGGCAGCAGCAATAGGGAAAAGCAAGGAGGAGGCAGCTCTGTGCAGGCTGGGCAGCCGTATGGGAAGACCTCCCACTCACCCTGGGAAGAGGGCCGGGGCCAGAAGGGGCTCGCTAGGAGACTTGGCAACTTACTCCTAAGAATCTGCTGTGTCCTGCCGGCCGGAAAGATCTGCGGCAGGCGAAGACGGCTGAACAAGGTGGTGCCAGTGACTCAGGACAGCTGAAGCGGCAAGGCCAAGTATGTGGGGCGGTCCAGCCACTCTTCCTGCACCTTATGTTATTATGGTCATTATTTTTATGACATTATTTTTGTCATAAAATTTTTGTCATATTTATGACATTTTTAACAGACAAGTCACAGATGTGCACATGTATGCGGTACACTGTGAAGTTTATATGTGCACTATGTGGAATGGTGACATAAAGCTAATTAATGTATCCGTCACCTCAGACGGGCAGACACAGCGTGATGTCACTTGTTGAGTCTGCACAGCTGACCTCATGGAGGTAGAGCAGCTGGATGATGATGAGCGGGTGGGGGTGGCAGAGGGAGGGCACGGGTAGTTGGTCACAGGGGACAGAGTTTCAGACAGACTGGAGGAAGGAGCCCTGAGGTGTGTTGCACAGCAGGGTGCGAGAGTGCATGAGAATGTCCTGCACATTTCAGAATACCTGAGGGTCCCCTTCACTTGTCTTCTTGCCTTTAGAATGGAGAGCAAGAAGACCCTGAGCTGCCGGGATCCTGACAGCGTGGAGTGGGAGGTCGGCCAGGCGGGGACACACAGCTCCAGGTGGGAGCCGGCCAGAAGCAGGGAGCCAGCCAGAAGCAGCCCGCGGCCTTCAGAGGCATCTGAGCACAGCATTGTGAGCTGCAATGCCGCCTGGAGCCCTGGAGACAAGAGGGCCCTCCGCCCCACCCGGTCCCTTGGTTCCCCATTTTCTTTATGCTTAACAGCCCAGTGAGCAGTCACCCAGGGCTGCTGTCCCTAAAACCCATCCCTGGCTCTCACCCCTTCAGCAATGCCTGTCTTTCTTTTGTTTGTTCGTTTTGTTTTTTTTATTCTTATTTTATTTTATTTTTAAATATTTTAAACTTATTTTACTTTTATTTTTTTCTCTTTTTTTTAATTTTTTTTTCTCATTTCCTTGCATATGTAGACTCGTATGTTTTGTTGTTTCTCTATGTCATCACACATTACGATCCAAATATGGGAGGTTCCGATACCTTTGAAGTATTTTGGGAAGTAAGTTCATGTCTAGGGACCCATAGTTCCAATTCTCTGGGAGCTTTTGTCCTTCTGAGCTCCTGTGAACTTACAAGCTCCTCATTAGGTTGGCTGAGATATGTTCCTGGCTCACTTTTACCTCAAGGTCTCAATAGATCATTTTGTTAAGGAGGTAGAATGTTCCAGATCGGTATTCTATTCCCTTTCAGTTCTTTCTTGAGAACAGATGGATGTTGAAGGATCCTGTCTTGTCTTGTTAGTTGACTTTCTGCGGTTTGCAGAGCAGAAGACAAAGGTGGAAACTGAATTGCAGTGTCCTGGATTCTGAAGTTTCTAGTTATGAATCCTTGTGCCAACCAGGAGAAAGAGGTGAGTGGAGAAATGACTATATTTTAGTCTATTGCTTTCTTTGATATTGCTTCAATTCACTGAACACTTTTGAAGGGCATATTCTATTGGATTCAGTGAGAAGTAGTGTGAGCATTCCCTTTTGTCTAGGGTAATAACACATTTGTTCAGAGGGTCATCCCTGTGACATCTTGCATCATTGCTGTGGATTTTTCTGGTTACAAAAGAGGCAGAGGGAAGATTTGGAGGAGGAGGAGAACTTAAATTTTGCAAACAATAACTTTTTCTCTTGTTTTGATTCTGGTTTGATTCTGGTTTTAAGTTAGAGGTTGTATACATGAAGAAAAGTGTGTGCAAAATAATGACATAGAATTTGACAATAAGGGCTTCCTTGGGTAAGATAAGAAAGAACTACAGTGGATGATGACATTTACTTATATTTCCTGTTGAAAAATTTATTCTGATAGAAAATTGTAACATTTTTCAAGACTAAAAGTGTTGTACTTAAAAGGGGGAAACCTCAGAATGGGAGTATCAAAAAGGCAAAATGAGATTTTCGTCAAGTTTTAGCCTGATTGATTTGTCCAGTTGATTTTGGTGCCACTGCACATTCATTTATGTTGTTTGTATTTTTTTTTTAAAGAGCAACTGAAATGAATAAAATGTGACTTTCTAGACTTTGGATATTGGGCTCTATAGATTCTTAGATTCAGCAGATCTAAGTTTTTAAAAGTCAAAATACATGAAAACAAAACATGGGCCATGAGATTCAAATATTTATCTAGCTCATTTTTCCTACGGATGCATGATTGATTTGGAGTAGGTGAGTTCTGGCTTTATCCATCATTCATCACAGTACATATAAAATATAGTGAGAACAGTTATAATAGCAAAAAATTAATAGCTATCTAAATTTTTCCCTGAAGTCAGAATTGAACTATTGTCTTGGTTCCCAACCTCTGCTCTTTTCCATGTGTTTATAGGAAAATTGGAAATGTTTTACTTCTAACCAACTTGATTTTCACCCTTGGAGGTTATCTTTTGTATTTTAAATTTTCCCCTGGCAGTTTTATTCTATATGGGAATAACTCCCTGAAGGACAGACCCTATACTGCCTTGAAATCAGACTGGGTTAATATGGCTGGGTGTGTGGGGGGTGTTGATGTGTTTTTCTTGTGTTTAGGGATTGGAGTAGGGGTGACAAAACAGGAAGAGCTAATTTTCAATACTTGATAGATAATGTTCAACTTTGATTCAGAAGAGAAAAACAAATTGTGCTCCCAGAAAAATCTGTAAAGTAAAGCAATGAAACAAATTCTCCAGATAATTGGAAATGTATCCATGTCAGGTCTCTGTTGAGTGTGGAATTACAGTTAATAATGTATGTTTTAAATTAATTATAATATTGTAGACACTCATAGTGTCCATGTCTGGAAGGAGCACTGATGATTTCTGCCAGCCTTTTCTTCATCTGCTTTAGGTGAACTGATTAACAGGTGATTGCTTTTGGCAAGAAACAGGAAATTGCCCAAGTAAAAGTGCAAATATTTTTTATTTTGAATTACGAGTAGATTGCTTACAAGTAGATTGCTTATGTGTTCCTTTTTACATTTAGGCTTGCTTTTGGCTGCCAATATAGGTTATAAGTGCTTTGTAAAGTGAAAAGCAATATATCAACATTAATTTTTGTACCTTGAGTTGTGAAATAAAAAGAAAATCTAGATCATTTGAAAAACATTAATTTCCTAAAATACTAATTTATGTAATTATAGAATGTGGTGATAATTCTTTTATTATGGGCAGAAATAAAAGCAAAATATCTTTTTCTAAAGCATTTTCATGCATTTCAGATGAGATCTGTCCAGGGAGTCTTTTAGGGCCAGGGGTTGCATAGACAACTCTTTATACATCAGGCAGTGAAAAAACAATAGGGAAGAAGAATCTACTTAAAAATGCAGAAGATGAGCCTTAGAGGAGAAAGAGGTTGTTAAAATAATCTAGATACCTTATCTGCAAGCCAGAATGTTCTTACTTAAAACGTGTCCTGTAGTGCAGTCCTTACAAGTAATGTCAGGTAAGAAACCCTAATGACTTCCTTTCTCATGTTGCAGAAAGCATAAGCCACTGGAGGGCAATGGCCAAGAGGCAGACATAACTGGGTGAGGAATAAGATGTCATTTATATGTGTTCCTTTTTTTGTAAAGACAAAATTTGAGTTTTTTGGTGGGAAAAGTTGTATTCATTTATTACATGAATTTCTATCTTCTGGTTTGATGAATCTTTGAAAGGGGTGAGGTTAAGGTAAGTGACAAAGTCTCACCACTGCTTAGCATTAGGCTCCAGATGTTCACTCACAACACTTTCCTGAGGTGACTCCTTTTCCTTCTCTTATCAACACCTGAAGAGTCTCCACTCTTCCTTCTGCTGGGGCAACAATGAGATGGCTTGTTTAGTAGATATTAGGAAGCCTTGGAAATTGATTACAAATGGTGATAGATTCAGATGAAATGTGTATGAGACAACTTTATAATGTTTTCTTTCTCCCCCTCCCCATGGCTTTGTTTTGGACACATCTCATTTTGTAGGTGGCTTCTGTTTTGTTTCTCACATTGGCTTTTTGAGGAAGCAAGGGTTTAATTTGCAGTTTTTCTTGGTTCCTTTAGTAATCGCTCTCTGTAGTGACATGGGAGACATCCAGGAAAGTGCACTTGGTCCCATGGGCACTCAGATCCTGTATTTTTGAGGCCAGAAATTCAGTGAAGCTGTACCACTTCACTAATTGTACCACTTGTACCTTGTTCCCGTTGTTGCTAAATGACCCACATTCTTCTGGTCTGTCTTTCCCACTGGACAGGAGAAAAGTTTTAGAAAAGAGTAAAACATTTCAGAAGAAGGCATTCTCTGTGCCCACCGTTGTCCGTGATGTATTCTTTTCTTTTTCTTTTCCCTCGTCCTGAGTTTATTCTTCATGCTTCATTGTTTCTAAAGTTTCTTTCCTGCTATGCTGGGTTATATTTTCCTGTCTGTTTGCCATTCCTTTCGCCTCTAGAGTTCGGTGTCACTTTCTGTTTATGCTTTTGTTTAATTTGTTAATTCAACCAATTTTGGTTTAATTGTCTTTGGTTTAATATGTTCATCTTGTAGTTTTCCTCTGCTTGACATGTATTGGGGTTAGACTTCTCAGCACAAGGAAATGGGATGAGCTTTAGATTAAAAACATCTCTGCATTACAGTTTAACCTTAAAGTAAGGCTATTTTACTCAATCTTCTGTTCAGTGTATGAATTTTCTACAAATGTACTCACTAGGTGATGATCATCCAGCCTTAACCCAGTACCTATTAAAGCTGCATGTTCCTTCATGGAAAGCTTTGAACATTACAAAATTCTTCTGTCTGACTGCCTGTAAGTTCCACCCACTGACTCTTGGCCTCCCTCCTGGGAATGTACAGAGCAATTCTTTTCACTTTCACTTATGATGGCCTCAAATATTTGAAGATGATTAACACATATTCTTCGCTGTCTTTTCTGGTTAATACAAAAAATCTGTAAAATAATTTAAACAGTTTTATTCTGACTCAAATATGAGGACCATGACCCTTAGCCACCCCCAAGAAGCCTTGAGGAAGTGTACTTGCTGTGGTTGGGTTATAGTTTGGTTTTATACATTTCAGGGAGACAGGGGTTACAGGTGAAGTCATAAATCAATATATGGAAGATGTGCATTTGTTTTGTCCCAAGAAGGTGGGCCAACTGGACGCGGGGCCTTACAGGTGATAGTTGGGTTTAAAGATTCTTTGACTCGTAATTGTTTAAAGACATGAAGCTCTGTCTTAAAGGCTTGGAAAGTTTTGAGATAAGGAGGTCTGTTCATCAGAGATAAGTCACAATGGACATATATTTCTTGTGTCAGTTGAGGACCTGCAGGTTTGTTTTACATAGCGCTTAGGTCTGCCAGTGAGTCACAAAGGATGTCTCCAAGAAGGGAGGGGGCATAATGAGGCATGTCTGACCTCCCTCTTTGTGGCAGGTAATTTAGTTTTAGGATATCCCCTTAGTTAGGAGGGGATCCATTCAGTCAGCCACTGAAGAGGAAGCCTTAAGACTTTATTTTTGTTCATAATTATCTTCAATCTATTCATTTTTTTTCTAAAAGGCAATAATTTTGTTATTCTTTTCTGAATAACTGTTCAGAAACAATAACAATTCTTTTGTTATTCTTTTCTTTGTGTTTTAGGCTTTTGATATATGTCTCCCAGAACTAAGAATCAGAGTCCAGGTGTGGGTTCCATAACCAGTGGGTTTATCACCTGCCTTGGTGTACCTATGGTTTAATTTCTCTATTCCTGCTGCATCAAACACTTCAAACACTTAATGGTGTAAGCGATCATCTATTTTATTTTATGTGTGGATTCTTTGGGTCAAATATGGAGAGGGCAGAGCATCCTCTTTCTGCCCCTGGATGCTTGGAGCCTCAGCTGGGAGGATG